AATTGTGCATGCGCTTGTTGTTGCACTAGCCTCAAGTTGCTCAATTTTAGTAGATAGTTCAACATTGAGATTTGCAAAGTTTTCATATTGTTCAAGCAAATTCTTGTATGCTTCTTGTGAACTACCTAGCTCTTCTTTTAAAGTTTTGAGCTTCTTTTGTTGACTAGTGCAAACTTTAGCATATTTAAGATTTTGTTGCACAATTGTATTGTAAGAAGGCAAATCATCATCACTATCACTCTCACTAGAGGATGAGCTTTTGTTACCTCGTGCCATAAGGCACACACGAGAAGAGCTTGATGATGAGTGCTTATGACCTCGCCTCTTGTGATGGTTTTCTTCTTCACTTGAAGAATCATCCCATGACCTTATTGTTGTGAGGGCTTTGTTTTTGCACGCCTTCTTCTTTGTCTTGGGTGTGGGCTTGTTTGGACAAACTTTCACAAAGTGCCCCATCTCGCCGCATCCGTAGCATCCTCTCTTTCTTTGCTCATTTATTTGATTGGTGAAAATGAGATCTTGAATTTGGATGGGCACACCCTTGACATTGAGCCTTTGGATCATCTTCTCCACCTTGTTGATTAATTTGATTGATTCTTCATCAAGGTCGGAGGTGGAGGAGGAAGATTGATCATCATCACTTGATTCTTGTTCATCATCATCATCATCCTCATCTTCTTCTTCTTCACTTGAGGAGCTTGAGCTTGAGCTTGACTCAACTTTCTTGCCCTTCATCTTTTTCTTTTCGCTACAAGCGAGAGCTTTGCCTTTGCTTGATGAAGATGATTCTCCTTGACCCATCTTACGTGACATTTCAAATGCCACTAGCTTACCAATGACAATGCCCGGGGTCATGGTGCTCAAGTTCTCCATGTTGTGAAGGATGGTGATGATGCTTGCATATTTCTTTTGTGGTAGTACGGAGATGATCTTCCTCACGATGTCCGCATCATCTAGCTTTAATAATCCTATTGAATGGAGCTCATTGATAATTAGATTCAATCGAGAATACATATCACGAACAAGCTCATCATCATTCATAGCAAAGGAATCATAATTTTGCTTAGCTAGATAATGTTTTTGCTCATGGACATTACTTGTACCGTCATGGAGCTCTTGAAGTTTTAACCAAATTTCATGTGCCGTATTTAGGGTGAACACTTGGTTAAACACATCCATGCTAAATGATTCAAACAAGCAATTCTTAGCTCTAGCATTAAAATGCATTTCTTTTTCATCACTCTTTGTGGGTTTTTCGGGATTCTTGATGGGTTTCATCCCGTCACGAGTGACTATACATACACCCAAATCAACCGCCTCAAGGTGGCAAGCCATTCTAGCTTTATAGTATGGGAAGTTAGTGCTGTCAAACTGTGGAGGCCTAGCGGTATCCATCCCAACCACTCTACAATAGCGTTGGCTCAACGGCGGTTAAGCCAAAGGTCCAAATATGAGCCAACCGGCTCTGATACCACTTGTTGGACACGTGGACGCCAAAGAGGGGGGGGTGAATTAGGCAACTTAAAAATCTAACTCTAAACTATGGCCTCTTTTTCTACCTCTAGCAAAACCTATGCAAAAGATAATCTATCTAGATGATCAACTACGATTTTGCTAGTGTGTTGCTATCTCTACCGCAAATGATAATAATATGATCAATGTAAATGCGGAAGCTTAAAGAGCGAGGTAGAGATATGCAAACTCCCGTCGGACGACTCTGGTATTTTTACCGAGGTATCGAGAAAGCGCAAGCTTCCCCTAGTCCTCGTTGGAGCCCCTCGCAAGGAATCCTCGCAAGAGGCCAAGCTCCCGGTCGGGTAACTCCGTGGATAGCCTCGGGCCTTCCCCACGCCGCAAGTGGGTCTCCGATGTGCCTTAAAGCAAGCCTCTCCCGGATGCTCCCCGCCGTCTTCACTATCAAGCTTTTGGGCCTTGTTCCCCTTGACACGGTGGCGGCCACACCACAAACGTGGTTGGTGCGATCTCGCAAGACTTTAAGCCCCTCCGATGTACAACTCTTGTGCTCACAAGCACGGGGTGTCAAGAGGTATGCAAACCTCACTAAACACTAGGCATACACCTAGAGCAAGCGCATAAGCGGTGGTCTAATCAACCTAAGTGATAAAGCACCACGCTAATCACACGATGAAACACTAAGCACTTAGCAAGTGGAGATCACTAAAATGGTGTATCAACACCCTTGGTATGTTTCCTCGGCTCCACACCTCTCAAATGGCGGTTGGGGTTGTATTTATAAGCCCCATCGAGAAAGTAGCCATTGGGGTCGAACTCCCGCAGAAATGCCATCTTGGGACGCTGAATCGTCCCCTGACCGACGCGTCCGGTCGTCTCCCGATGCAGCAGTTGCGAACTCACCGATCGAACGCCGCCCGGCGTCCGATCGCCGCCATCGGCCGCGTCCGGCCGCAGATTTCAGCGCTGGAACTCTCTCAGATTTGATTTGATCGGACAAGGGCTGTGTTTTACTGCGTCCGGTCGTTCCGCCGCCAACGTCCGGTCCTTGCGTCCGGTCGCTTTGCAACTGAGCCACCGGTCCGGCGTCGGTCGCGCGCTTCCAGCGTCGGTCCGGCGTCCGGTCGCCTCTATGAGCTTCGTTTCTTCGCGATCTTGCGCATGGCTTGGTTCCTATCTTCATGCTTGGACTTTGCTTGACATCTTGGGTCTTTTCTTGTGCTTCTAAGGTCTTGCTTGAGGTGTTGATCATCAGATCATCACGTCGCCTTCGTCCAAGTCACGTCTTGCACCCTATTGGACTACAAAACAAACACTTGCAAATTCATTAGTCCAATTTGGTTGTGTTGGTCATCAAACACCAAAATCCAAAGTAAATGGGCCAAGGGTCCATTTTCCTTACAGATTTCTTACACGATAATGTGGATGCAGGAATAGGCTAAACCACACCGTCTGTTCAAGAGAATTACTTACCCCTCCAAAAGAAGCTGATTTTTTTATCTCACTAGGTGCTAAATTTATATACTGTAATGTCGGATGGCTACTGGAATGGAAGGATCTAGGCTACGAACATGCTACATGGGAACAGGAGTCTTCATCTTCAAAAGTAGACAAGGTATGCCATGAAAACATTTATTTGTGTTAACTACCATACAACAACTTCATTCAACAAGGAAGTGACAATGATCTATACATTTTCATCATTTGGGCTATATGCTCATCTCTTTTTTAGTACACCACAACTAATGAGATTTATCGGTTTCAAGCAAGCTTGTTTTTTCTGCAGTTGTCTGGTGACGTTGCTTTCCTAAGGTACCTCACGCAGATATTGAGCTCTGTTAGTTCCAACCAAGTTTTGTTCTTTCTGTTGTCTAGAGAATAGTCCATTTGAACTATAGGTTCAGATTGACCCTGTGGGATTTCCTGTGAAATCCGTTACATTGTTACATTCCAAACATGTCCTAGATTGCTTAAAGATTTCACAATTTTTAGTAATGGTGCTATCCATGTGCTATACAGGTAAAGGGGACATATTTAAGAAACACCACAGACTGCCAGATGGTTGTCCTCCTGGTTGAAATGATGACCATTTGAGATTACTTAACCCGCTTCATAGGTTCTGCCACAATTCTCGTGCTGCTTGTTTCGTCAACGATCAGGTAAAATTGAACTATCTAAATATTTTAGTCACCTTGCATGAAGAAAAGTATATTGACGTGTTTTGTTGCCACCTTTCCTGTGAAATCTCTGTTACATTGTCACATTTCAAGCATGCCCTAGATTCCTTAAAGATTTCACAGTTCTCAGTAATGATAAACTATCCACGTGCTATATAGATTAAGGGGGCATATTTTAGAAACTCTAGAGACTGCCAGATGGCTGTCCTCCTAGTTTAGATGATCTGGCAGTCCTCCTAGTTTAGATGATGATCATTTGAGATTCCTTAACCACTGAAATAAGATATAGTGGATAGTGAAAAACTATAGATTCTAAAGCACAACAAATTATACTTTGAGATGTTTAGAATGGTGGGAAGAAGCCACAGGAATCTGAGCAAGCATAGCAACAGAGTGAGAGCAAAGATTCTTTTCCTTGGGTTGGAGTGGAGTTTTTATTTTCTATGTTTTGTGCTGCTATGATTTGTTTTCCTTTGGAATGTAACTCAAATTTATTTAAATGTATGAGCATTATTACTCTCCAAGATTTCAGAATTTCATAATAGGCTCTATTCCAGTGCGAAATTCAGATATGTGTATGATCTGGAAATGTCGTGTCTATGATTACCACGCATAGAAAATGCCATGATTTCAAAAGTATGCAGAGTAGATGTGTCCTGCACCATATAAAAAAAGCTCCAATCTTTCAGTTTTTGTGCATGACATATCTACATTAAACTCCTAATATTGTTTACATGCAAAGATTAAACATATTTTTTACCTGCGCCTTAACCAACTGATTTGCCGGCGCGCGCGAGGGCGCGCGTAATGGACTAGTTATTATTGTTATAAAATACCAGGGTTAAAAATGCATGCATACATGTCCCATCTTTTTAAAATGCATCACACCCGGTTGCCACCCCACAATGCATCAAGCAATGATTTAATCATTAAATTTAAGAATGAAGAATGAGTAACCATTCCATAGATCGATCATATTTATATGGTGTCAGAAACTAATCTCACAAACAAATTACAGTTACAGCACACGCAAACGGCAAACCCTTGACGGTTCACGTTCACGCAATGTTAAGTAGCAGTAGTATATCTGTCTGAAGTCACACTCGAGCAGGATGAACAACCATTCAGCCAGCCAGGGAACGATGAAATGCTAGTATGCTACTCCTGCCCATGTCACCTCATCCGTTTCAACAACCTGAATGCAACTGGCCATTACGCCAATCAAATCCTAGAAATTCCTTTTCAATTTGGCTGCCTCGCTTCCATCGGACCATGACCATGCACGGATGAATTTACGTGTACCGGCCATGAAAACGATGGCCTCCCTTCAATTTGGCCAGGGATTGATGATCAATCCCGCTCCTCGCCGTCGTCTTCCTCCAGCGAACTCGACCGCCTCCGCCAGCTCAGCACGCGCCCCATGCGCGGCAGCCTGATCATCGAGTTGGCCCGCGCCACCCCTTCCAGCGCCCTCCACACCGTCGCCCCCTCCTCCGACGACGCCTCGCAGCCGCCGTTACTCAGAGCCCTGCGGAAGCTGCTGCCCGTGAACGGCACGACCGCCGGCTTCACGTCCTCTCCTGTGCCTGGGACTCTGAGGCTCTCGTCAGGACCACGAGAGGCCCGGTTCAGGTAGAGGCACACGACGGCGCAGTCGTCCACCATGGACGTCGGATACTTGCGCCGCCACGCTCGGACAGCACGGTCGATCAGCTGCCTCGCCGCCTTGGATGGGTCGCTCGCAGATGACACGAGCTTCACCACCTCCTTGTTCGACAGCACGTCCCAAATCTGCAACAGGTTTTGAATATGGCAACAAAGGAAAATTCAGATCTTGTTCCTCATGCTACAGTAAAAGTGTAAAACCATGTCATCTGAGACTTTTGTCTATTGTGTAAACAAATCATTATCAGCTAAAACTATCATGGCAATAATAAATACTACGACAGTGATATGTCTAGTTTCGGTTAACAGTTTCTATTGTGGGTCTAATCTGAAAGGGATTTATGCTATTCTGTACCCAGATCATTCGGAATAGTTGCATGCAGGCCTTTCTGATTAAAGAAACCAACGACAGTTAATGGACTGAAAGTGACAGGAATCTGAAACTGCCAATCAAATAAATGATCACATTTTTTTATTACCCCGTCAGTAGCAAGCACCAAGAACTCATCTTTCTCAGACAGTTTCCTGCAGTAGACTTCAGGTGTGCAGATAAGGCCATGGTTCTTCAGGCAGAAGTCACCGAAGGCCCTTGCCATGGCGAGGCCTGGCGCATCCTGATCCGGCAGCCACATCCTGGGCACGTCTGGCTCGTCGTCCATGGCGAACACTCTTCCCTTGCAGTTCAGAATCCTTGCGAGCTCACCTATTGCAAGTGTGCATGAATGCAAAATTCAGACAAGTAAGTGTATTCAGGTGTGTTAGTAGCCGTGAAATGAGAAGTTTTGATGCTCACTTGGAAGATCTGGCTTCAAGTCAGTGGTGAGCTGGACGGGGATCAGACGGTCCTTGCTGTCACGGGTGCAAAGGACAGCGCGTGAATCGCCCAAATTGGAAACGATCAAGTGATCACCCTGTGCATAACAAGGACAATACAGCTGAAACATGATTTCCTACAGCTAGTAGTTACAGTACAAGTAAATCACTGAGCATCTATCTGACTTGCCAAAGGAATCCAAATCACCGAAACATGATTTCTAGTTCAGCTAGTAGTTACAGTTCAGAAATAGTACCTGCCTAACAGCAGCGACTGCAGTTGTGCCACTACAAATGCAGTCGATTCCTGAATGTTGCCTCAGCTCCTCATCCACCTGCTCAAATGTCTTGACGAATATGTTCTTCCAAGTGGACAACAGCTGGCTCTCATCGCTGGGATCATCACTGAATGAGCTGCTCTCTGACTTGTCAAAGGAATCCAAATCTGTGTTGCTTGAGGGATCCTCTTCAGTTCTGAGCTTCAAACTATTGCTTGAATTATCTTCTTCAGGTCTGAGCTTCAAACTATTGCTTGAATTATCTTCTTCAGGTCTGAGCTTCAAACTATTGCTTGAGTCAGCTTCTTCAGGTTTGAGCTTCAAATTATTGCTTGAGTCATCTTCTTCAGGTTTGAGCTTCAAATTATTGCTTGAGTCAGCTTCTTCAGGTTTGAGCTTCAAATTATTGCTTGAGTCATCTTCTTCAGGTTTAAGCTTCAAAGTATCGCTTGAGGAGTCTTCATCTCCAGTTTTTGGTGTCAAAGCAGAGGCTAGTTTCACTGGAAGGGTGTCACGGACATGGCGAGCGACTTCCCGGCCACGAGGGCCATGGCCATCAAATACCCCGCAGAATATGTGGCCCTTGTTTCCAGCAAAGTCCTAAGCATCTTGATACGATTTCCATACATCAAGATCAAGCGAATCGTGTGTGTATGAGAAAAAAAAATGTACTTGCATTGAAGATGCTATAGCTTTTAATGTTCCGGCCCAGGCAGGTTCATGTACAATGCAAGCTCTCAGGAGTCAGGACACTGGTGGTGTGGGCAATTAAAGATGGTGAAGTACATAATTTCAGGTCTGCCAAAAAAATCTGTTTTTTCCTTTCTACTAACATCTCTCTCAGGTTTTAAGGTTTCAATTCTCAGCAGCCGTAGATAGATCCGGTGCGCTTTTCTCAGACTAAAATACAACTCGCATTGCAAGTTGCAACAACACCGCGAACAGCTTGCATATTGGCAAAACACATACACAATATCCCAGATATTTCAGTTTTCTTAATTGCTATCATTCTTCCCTTTTTTTTTTTTTTGAACATTGCTATCATTCTTCCTGGTTGGACAAAATCAATGGTGCAAGACTGCAAGGAGCTACCAAGTTGCAAGCAGAGAAGAGAGAGAGTGGAGGGAGGGTGAGATCATGCACCTGGCAGACGGTCATGGCGTCCTGGTTGGCGCCCTTCCATCCCTGCTTGGTGTGCACGGAGACGCCGGCGCTGGCCCACAGGTGGTGGTGGAACGCGTCGTCGTGCATCCATGGGAAGCCCAAGCCCTCGTCGTCGTCCAGCTCCCCTGCTGCCGCCTTGCTGCAGCAGATCCCCATTGCTGCCTATGCTTGCTTGCGCATGAGCTCCGTCCTCTCCTCTACACGACTACTCCAAGCAAGAGCAGCAGATATGTTTGCTTCATTGGTTGGTTCGCAGGTGTGGTGGGGGGCATTTAATGACAGGACCGCTAGGGTAGGGCAGCGTATGACGACGGACCATTCTATACAGGGATCCGTCACCTATTGTAGTAATGATGAAGCTTCTTCTGCTTCTACAGGACGGACGGATGGACAAACAAACGGACACACCCTGCTCCAGCTTCAGCCTTCAGAAGTAAAAGGGCTCGAGCAATGCAGCACCTGCGCTCTGCCCTGGGCGCAACGGCGAGCCATGGCGGAGGAGCAACGCAAGCCGGCAACAGCAGATGGAGATGGAGATGGCATTTACTCCTCATCAAGGGACAAGGGTTGAAGGGATCACGGACGGGACAGGAGCATCGGCCAGCTACCCGTGGTTGGCAACGGCAATGGCAACTGTTTGTCCGGCACCAACGTGATGCCTGCGCCGCGCCGCCCATGTCGCCTCGCTCTCGCTCCTGCCAGCGGCTTCTTCAATGCTACTAGCTGCCCATGGCCATGGCCACGGCCACCTGCCTCTTTACCTGTCCATTGCAAGTTTGCAACGCTAGCTGCCCCGATCTCTTCAACCTGCCATTCCTGTCTCACCCTGTGCTTTGAGTTCCATGTTTCCGTCCGTGTGCGTCCAACACTGACTCACATCGGACTTAACCAAACTCCAGCACCCGCAAAGTTTAAGGATCAATGCGTCTCCGTCTACTATCGTCTCCTCGTTTGTTTGAGAGGATACGATATGACCAAGCAGAGGTGTTGCACCAGATCCTGTATGGCCTATGCAACCAGCAAGCCACTTCATTCAAGCACTATAAACAAGCGGATATCCTTCGTTCTGTTCTTGTATCCCAAACAGAAAATAAATGCAATGCGAGCCACTTCATTCCAGCTAATCACAAACATAAATACAACAGCCAACAAACACACGCCATATCTATGGCACTAAATTCCAGAACCATTTTCTTATCAACCAAAACCATCACTTCCATGTCAATAACTTTCCTTCATCTTACAAATATTCTATACAGCCTGACTGCTCCACAGAAATATAATGTACTCCCCAGGCATGTTCACCTCACCCAACAAAGGTGGGATTGGGACTGGGACTGGATCTACTCATCTAGTATACATACACCTCTGTGGTACCGCACCGATTACAGTACTTCTGGATGCCAGTCAACAAACCCATCCATCCACAAGATGCATGCCCTGCTTTCCACCATAGCTACACTTGAGGTCTTCTCATCGTACAAGCACATCTTGGGACTGTTGCTTCCATACATCACAAGGTTCCACCTCAACCTGCACAAGGCCACACCTGTTATTAGACACTTAAGACTTTTCCAGGCTTGTAATTCTAGTAAGAACAAATCCACTCAACAGTCAACAGATATAAGACAACTGTGCTATGCTCTTAGGCATTTTTTTAAAATGCCATCCATAAGCAAATCATGATTTCGTTTTGAAGCATAGACAAAATCTTGAAAGTTAAAAAAAAATCATTGCACAGCACAAACATAGCTTAAAAGAATCACAACTTTTCTGAAGCAAATAGTATGTAGTGTTTTCAAGTAGCAAATCAGGCAAGACACCTAAATGAGTTGGTGAACACAAGGGTTTAACCCTGTGTAAATGTAAAGCAACCAGGGGAGTAGTAGAATACCTTGAATGGTTTATCGATCCACTGGAAAACACAGCCGCGTGCCTCAACATTTTTTATCATATGAGCAGGCATCATGGATTTGAATGCTTCGTGAACCTTCACTTTCGTCAAACAACCACAAACCATAAGAGTAGCCGTCAAGCCATTAGGCGTTATACCCGCTAAATGGACGATGGTCATGTTCTGCAAGCCAGATATGCTAGAAAGGGACAGAAGTCCGATATCGGTGACTGAACAATACGACAAGTTTATCTGTGATGAGACATAGATGGTATTAGCACAATTGCAGAACATACATGGTACCATCATATTCCAGCTACAGTTACAGGAGAAAAGGATAATACCTGACGGAGGCTATGAGAGAACTGGGAAAGGTAAAGCATTCCAACATCATTAATCTCAAAGCATTTCTTAATATCAAGCTTGGAAAGTAGCCTGCACCCCATTGCTATTTCTGAGAGCCCAGTGGATGTAATCATGGGGCAGCCACGAATCTCCAGAGTATTCAGCTTTGCGCATTTTGAAAGTGAAATCAGTGAACGGTCTGTTATTTCTGTACAGTAGGATAGATTGATACACTCTAGCATTGGGCAACCCTGTGCAATTTGAATAATTCCATCATCACTAAGGCCTCCACACCTGAAACAGAAAATATAAGTTAGTTTACTGACAAAGAACCAAACAAAGAAAACCACAAGGCATGTCTAATAATGACCTGTACAGATCAATGTCGCGGAGTTTTGGGCAAGACCTTCCAATGTGGGTAAGACCTTCATCACCAATCTTCAAGCAAATTCCAATTTTTAGACTCGAAAGTTTGCTGCATCTGGCAAGAGCTTTCAATCCTACACAAAACATATCCAGAGTCAACTTTATGTTCATCTGGCAAAGAATAATTCAGTAGCCAGTTCAGTAAGTACCTTCGTCATCCAAATCACTGTCAGTAAGGTCCAACTCTTCCAAGTGAGAACAGTGCTTCCCGATCAGTTGGAGTGCTCCACTGGAAACACGGCTACAAGACTCCATCCTCAGAGAGATGAGGGAAGTGCATGAACTAGTTATGGCCGCTAGTGAAACATCAGTGATATTGCGACAACAAGTAATGTCCAGCTTCAGCAGGTTCTTTAGTCTTGACACGGCTAAAGAGAGTTCTGTATCCATCACTCCAGAGCACTTGCTCAAGCTTAACTCCCGTAAAGAAACACAAGAGGTTCCAATGGCTTTTAGTGCATAAGCCATGAATTTGCAGCCTTCCAGCTTCAGGGTCTGCAGTTTAGGAATCTTCTGGAAGCTTCTCACCATAGAAGGAGTAACCTGATACATGAAGGATGTGAATTAAGCTGTGAGGGCTCAAGTTATGACCAGGTGATACAATAATACGAGTAGATGATTAGCTACTTACAGGACAGCAGTATGAAAGATCCAGTTCCAATAGATTGGGTACCGACTTCAGTATGGATGAAACTCCCACGTCAGTGATATTCTGACACTGAGACATATCAAGCACCTGCAATGGTGCAAGCATGTAAGTTCAGTAATAAGCAGAGCTTTGTGCTACTATGAAGACTTTTTTTTTAATTATCAAAAATACTTAAATACATATTTTAGTACAAGTGACTAGTTCAGACAAGGCATCTACGGAGTTCAAAACCTAACAGTGTAAGATCAAGCGAGATAATATCACTATAGTGTTTGAAATGAAGCTGATGTGTGATTGCTAGTAACAAGCAAGTCAATAAAAATGGCAAATTACCATGAGCACCTCACCTGTAGTGATTTACTGCATTCTTTGTCAAGACTATCAAGAGCGTCATCATCAATTCCAATACACCCCACCAGTGTCAACTCTTGAAGATTGGGTAGCTTCATGATTGCAGGAAAACTATCCTTTGTGATCTGCAACACAAGATACGTTTCCATTTTATTATTACTCCAGCACAATATGATAAGTGGGTCGGTAGGCACAGGCACAAAGCTGCAAGAGAAACTAGAGTCGGCTACTAGTACCGCTCTGCTGATCCATTGTTGCAAAGATGATTTGCCATGTTTATAGATAAGAACGCCTGCAGATCAAGAATACTATACTACCTATACACTGAAGTGGTCCAATGCCCTAAGCACTAACTGGATAAAAAATCAGATTGAGCAAATATGTACTAGTAACTAGCAAAGGGAGTAACTGAAGCCCATTTTTTAGGGAAACTGAAGCCCATTTTGCTCCGGTGAATTAAAGAGGAACCTGGATGTCTTACCAAATCAACAAACGTGCTAGAAGGAAACAAAAGATAGAATCATCCAAGAAACAAGCAGAGCACCAAAAAAACCTGAGCGCTCACCATGGTGTAGGAGAGATCCAGGCTGGTCAGCTTCCTGCACTTGAGCGCGAGGAGCTGGATCCCCAGATCCGAGACCCCAAGGCACCACTTGAGCGAGAGCTCTCTCAGCTCGGTGCACACGACGGCGACGCATCCGAGCCCCATGTCAGTGAGCGGCTTCCACCTTGCCAGAGAGAGCCTCCTGAGCCCCCTGGCCCGCCCCACCTCGGCCGCGGCGGCGTCCCCGAGGTCGACCCCATTGGATAGGTCGAGGTCGGCGAGGCCCGGGCACGACGCGGCGAGCGCGGTGACGCCCGCGGCGCCGAACCCGCGGGAGCGGGAGAGGTCGACGGCGCGGAGGGCGGAGCAGGAGGAGGAGACGGCGGACGCGAGGGCGGCGTCGGGGACGCGCGCGCAGAGGGAGAGGTCGAGGCGGGTGGCGCACGGGTACCGCGCCAGCGCGGCGGGCAGGAGGTCCGGGCGGAGCGGGCGGACGACGCGGCGGTGCCGGGACTCCGCGGCGTGGCAGGCGCGGGAGGCCAAAGCGAAGGACTTGAGCGCCCGCGGGTCGGCCTGGGCCACGCGGTCCAGGACCAGGAAGAGCAGCTCGTCGGCCAGCGTGACGAGCGGCGGCGCGACGAGGGTGGGGGTGGGGGAGGGGGAGGGGGAGGGGGAGAGGAAGAGGCGGCGGCGCTTGGGGTGCCTGTGCTGCTGGGCTGCTGCCGCGGCCATGGGGAAGGAGGGTGGGCTTCTTGGCACGGCGGACGGCGGCTGTCTTGGTGGCTTCTTGATCCGGCGTTGGTTGCAGGGAGGAAAATGGGGGCTGCCGGCGATGGATGAGATGGGCAACCAAAGTAACCAGGCGCGTGAGATGTGAGGAGAGAAGATGACGAGACTGCCCCTGGAGCGTGTCGTACTGGGGAATACGCGGGCTGCGCCTGTGTTTC